TGCATTATCTGGGAGCAGGTGCTCAGGAGGGGAGGAAGAATTCTTAATGAATTTAGTTCTCTAATAATGAGATGAATCACTAGGGGTAGTAAGGAGAAGAGAAGCCTGAATGATCGTTGTTCATTACCTATAGAAGTTAATCTGGTCTTTGAATGACACACTGAGATAGTTGGAGTGTCAATTAAAAAGAATTGATTACTTTGATCACCTTGGATAGACTATAAAGATTGTATAATATAGTGCTCTAAAATTATTACCACAGTTACTATTGCATCAACCCAATACTTTGTGACCGACTTGTTATGAAGTTCAGTGTGGTGGTGGCAGCAAATCACACATCCTGAGTTTTAAGCAAACAACTCCAGATAGTATCATTCCCCTTTTTGTTTATTAGGACATTATTACTGCCAGTAAGCACCTTTGAAGTGATATTTTGTAAAATGTAATACAGTCATGTGTTGCTTAACAATGGGGATGCATTATGAGAAATACATTGTTAGGCAGTTTGATCAGTTTTCAACATAAACTGTACTTACACAAACCACATGATACAGCCTACTGCATACCTAGGCTATTTGGTATAGTCTGTTGCTTCTAAGCTGAAAACATGTACAGCATATTATGGTACTGAATACTATAGGAAATACTTGCCATCATTGTCACACAATATCATTGTCATACAGTGGTATTTGTATTCTTAACATAGAAAAGATACAGTAAAAATTGTCACACCTGGTTAGGGCACTTAACATGAATGGAGAGTGCAGGACTGGAAGTTGCTCTGGATGAGTCAGTGAATAAGTGGTAAGTGAACAGGAAGGCCTAGAACATTGCTGAACACTACTGTAGACTTATAAATACTGTACACTTAGGCTACACTAAATTTATCTAAGAATAAAGTAATTGCAGGTCCAGCATTACAATGGCTATAATCACCAAGCGGTAGGGATTTTTCAACTCCATTATAATCTTAGGGGACTACCGTGGTATATGCGGTCTATCCTTTGACTAAAACATTGTTATATGGCACATGACTGTACTTTATTGAAGATTGAGCACCAAGCTCAGTACAAGCCTGAGTACAAGATTCAGGGGACCTTGATGTAAAAATTGCTAATTTTCTGATATATTCCTACATTTCCTTTAGCACTTCTCAAGCTACTAAGTCTCTATACTGGTTATCTCAGAGGAGAGGTTCCCAAGACTAATAAACCACTTTTTCATTCTGTTAATTTTTTCCCAAAAGAACAGGTTGTATTGCTGACCTTAGTTATTGTTACTTTTTTTTTTAATAACTTGTTTCCCCAGTTTTGGTTGGAAATGGATTGTGATTTAGATTGAAGGGGACATTCGTGGGAGAGTTTAGGCTTCTGTTTTCGAGAGCTGTGTGATTAAATCAGAAGCCAAAAGTAGGCATGTAAAGCCTTCCTGTAAGAGAAACATTGTTCCTATAAGAGAAACGTTGCTTCCTACCCTTCCTGGAGCATTAATTCCCCTTGAGGAGACAAGACATAAATGAACAAAAAGAAAAATGAGAACATAGGGTTTTAGATGGCTTGTGACAAATTTTATTTTTGCAAGTGATAGAAAGCAGACATTAAGCAACTGACTTTTAATTAAAATCAATGATTTGGCAATTCTGAGGATGAGAGAACTGGAAACTAAAGATCCATGAGGACAGGTAACATGTCTGCCCAACACTGCCTGTTGAGCAGTCCCTGGCAGATGATAGACTCAGTATATGTCGAATATGAATATTTGTTGAACAGTTTGAAGAGTATCTTGAAGGAGAGAAATACTATATTTGAGCAGAAGTGAGATGCAAAGACTTGAGGAAATGTTAGGAAGTAGAAATCACTGAATGCAACAGAAGACCATCCTGATCAGAGCTGTGGGAATGAGCAGGAAAGCTCTGGTAAATAAGCCAGCTAACAGTAGGTAGGGTCAAATTATAAGCAGTTTTGATTGCTGAATTGGAATTTGGAGTTTGTTCTTTAAGCAGCGTAAACTTTGAAGAGGTATTGCCGTCGTTGAAGCAATGTTTTAGGAATAGTCTGAAGACATGGTGCAGATTGCAGTGAAGAAGAAACTAGAGATCAACCTTGAGACCAGTTGTGATGTTGGATAGGAATTCTTTCAAAAGTAGTCACCTTCATAAAATAAATAATTTTTCTTCATGTGTGATAGGAAAAGGTAGTTTTAAAGCCCTAGTGATTGAACATAATGGCATGGCTGTCTTTTTCAGTATTTAGTTTCTGTGGCATTTTGTTATATATTGATCTTTCTGGCTTTTAGGTGATATCATGGTATAAATTTTGAATGTATTTGTTCTTCCCTTATTTGTCTTTTGTTAATGTCAAGCATAGCACATGAGACATTCCCTGTTGCTATGCAACTGCTAAATTCAATATTTAGTATTAATAAAACTGAGTGGCATTAACATCCAGTGAACAGAGAGTAGCAAAATAGGACTTTATGGTATCAAATCAATAGTATTTGTTAGGTTTAATGTATTGTTGCAGGTATGAGCAAAAGAGGAGTGACTTGTTTACAGTTGCTATTTTGAGCAAAATTAGTTGTGATTAAATCTTTGTGTTTATGACCAGATTTTTGCATTTGCTTTTGTCCTTTCTTTGTGATTGCTTTTTGATTTATGACTCAGTTTTTGTTAGTATTATTGATGTTCTGCTCAGTTGTTTTTTTTCTTGTATCAGATTCTGTTCTTCTTTAAAATTTTTATCTCCCAGAGCTTTTATTTGCATTTTTATTTGCTGGCATTATTTCTCGCTATATTTACTTTTTTCCTTTTCAAGAATTTACGGTCAGCCTGCAGATTTGGAATTTGTTACAATTTTATGTAAACCTAGGCGAAAGAATATTAGATTTACTCTTCAGGATAAGACCTGCTTAATGATTTCCTTTAGCTATTTAAAGTACGTATTTGATATTTTCAAGATGTTGAAATACCTTATTTGTGAAATCAGAATTTCTCTTGGTGGGGGCAGGTAGGAGGGCTTAAGAATTGGAGATAGGCTGTGGGAGTTACTTATTTTTTTAAGTCAGAGTATTCTGAAAATATCTGGTCTGCAGGGCCACACTGAGAGTGTATACGGTTCATAAACCCCTTCTAATAACCATTTGAATTCTCAGTGAGGTCCATCGCATACATTTTGGGAACCACTGCTTTAATCCATTATTCCTGGTATGTTGTTTAAAGATATGGTCTGATTCCTGCTCTTATTTTCTTACTCTCTTGACCCATAAAAAATTGCAAGATGACAAAGATATTTATCATGGAGTAGATCACCAGTATTTGAGGTAATAAGCCAGAAAAAAAAGTTTTTGAATTTTTTTCATTTTCTACTTTCACACTGGTAGAAGGACATAATAGTTTAAATGTTTGTATACAAGTATATTGGATTTTTTTTCTCTCTCTTTTTTTTTGATAAGTATAATCAGTAGGGTTTACATTTATAAAGGAACCAGCACGTAGTTATTGTGGCAGTGTTAAATAGTTACAGAAGTCTTAAAAAAAAAATATATATATATATATGTTGTAGCTTGTATGTGTGTGATGTAGTTTTTCTCAGTGAAGATTTCATAAACAACTCAAAAAATCTGTTGTCTCAATTGGTATTCGAAAAAACACTATTTAGATAATTCTAGTAAGTTGTGGAAATTTTGAAGCAGTTTGATTCATTCATTGAGTAAAGTACCTTTTAAAATGGAGCCTGAGAGTTTGTACAAAGAGGTGTTTGGGATTTTGTCAAATCGTAGGAGAACCTGTGAATTTCCATTCCTTCATTGGTCTTGTTCTTGAATGTGCTCAGAATTTGTGTTGAACGTTAATCATTGACAGAAATGCAAATGCTACTTGTAGATTTGCTGTTGACACTCTTTTTTTCTAAGCATCTCTTCAGTAGTAATCCAGGATCCTTGAGAACTGGAAGAAAACACCATCATTTTTTTATGCCAAGATTTTTCAGCACTAGAGTGAATATTATTGTGGTAATGGATTTTGTTTTTATCCTTTCAGGGTTTGAAAGTATTCTTGAAGGGCTGTTTGGACCTGCATTATTAAAAGATCTCAGTTTATTTAAAGGTATTCAAAAAATTTTTGGTATTTCAAATTCTTCCTGGTGACATACATGATACCTTGGTGATTTAAGCCTCAGTCTCCTATTTATTCACAGTTTCATGTGGGTTAAAGCTGTATTCATGTAAGCGTCTTTTGTGTTCAGTTGATATTGTTAATGTATGTATTAATGATGTATTAACTCTAGTGAGCAGTTAAGAACTTAAGAATTTTAAGAGTTAAGACTTTTAAGACAAATATGGCTCAACTACTTAGGTTTTTGTTAAACAGTATTTTGAAATTAATTCTAATTTATTTTTTGAAAAATTCTCTTTTATGACTATTAATTTGTTACTATTTTTTTTGCAGACTGTGAACCTGAAAGCATTTCTGATTGGACTTTTGATGAAAACTGTTTATTCTGTTGCTTGAGAAGAGATAAAGTAAAGGTAACCAAGAAGCTTGAGGACCTTTTATTTAGTGTAGTATTTAGTTTTCATTTCTAAAAAAGCCGGGCACGGTGGCTCAAGCCTGTAATTCCAGCACTTTGGGAGGCCGAGGCGGGTGGATCATGAGGTCAAGAGATCGAGACCATCCTGGTCAACATGGTGAAAACCCCGTCTCTACTAAAAATACAAAAAACTAGCTGGACATGGTGGTGCGTGCCTGTAATCCCAGCTACTCAGGAGGCTGAGGCAGGAGAATTGCCTGAGCCCAGGAGGCGGAGGTTGCGGTGAGCCGAGATCACGCCATTGCACTCCAGCCTGGGTCACAAGAGCGAAACTCCATCTCAAAAAAAAAAAAAGGTTTTCATTTCTTAAAACATTGTATTACTTTGTTGGAGGGTTGTAGGAAAAAGAAGGTATGGTTTTATGATGAAAACTGTTTATTCTGTTGCTTGAAAAGAGATAAAGTAAAGGTAACCAAGAAGCTTGAGGACCTTTTACTTAGTGTAGTACCTTAAAGTTTTCATTTCTTAAAACATTGTATTACTTTGTTGGAGGATTGTAGGAAAAAGAAGGTATGGTTTTATACTTAATTATGAAAGAGTTTGATGGTAGCTCTGGATTTTGCCATTTAAATTCTTTCCATCCTGTTGATTAACCTCTTAAGAAATCTGTATCATACCATGCATTTTTAAATTATTGTTGTTGTTTTGTTTTTTTTTTTTTTGCTTTTTTTTTGAGACAGAGTCACACTGGGATGCCCAGGCTGTAGTGAAATGGCACCATCTCAGCTCACTGCAGCCTCTGCCTCCTGGGTTCAAGCGATTCTCCTGCCTCAGCCTCCTGAGCTGCTGGGATTACAGGCACCCACCTCCACACCCAGCTAATTTTTGTATTTTTAGTAGAGTTGAGGCTTAACCATATTGGTCAGGCTGGTCTTGAACTCCTGACCTCAAGTGATCTGCCTGCCTCATCCTCCTAAAGTGCTGGAATTACAGGCATGGTCACTGTGCCTGGCCCATGCATTGTTTTATTTATATAGTTCATTAGGCAGAATAATTAACTAGGTCTCAAACTCTTGTGTTTATTTTAAAAATAAAATGTATGGTAATTCAAGTAATCAGAGTTATTGGTAGTACAAAAAGAATGGTAACAACAAACAAACAAATAATAAAGAAAAAAGGGGGGCGGAGGAGTAAAAAAAAAAAGAATGGTAACATAGAGCTAGATCAAGCAGTTACTAATTCATGTAGATTTATGATGTACTATGGTTTATACTTTAAAACATGTCTTCATAATATCGGCATGAATGCTATTATTTTTAGTTGTATAAATTGGCTGAACCTTTGTGTATCTGTTGTTTTATTGCTTTGTTTTAAACATAAACAGTTTTGCTTTAGAAAACATTTCGCTTGTTGGAAACATTTATTAATAATGGTTTACTGTCTTTTATTTTTTTTTCATGGCACTTCTGTTCCCTGTTTTAAAGCCTTGGAAACACTTTCTTCTGCTCTATACATTCTTAACTTAAATCATTGACCAGATTTTATTAGTTTTTCCCTGGTAATGAATTTTATTTTTTTTTCATTTCCACAGTTATTACTATAGTTCTGTCTTAGTTTTCCTCAGTCTCTTAAATATTCCTACAAGGCTAAACTCCTTCCAGCCCTTACCCTTCAAATGGTGTAGAAATGTTACCTTATACTTAGTCTTTGATGACTTTCTCATTGTCTTTTGGATTCATTAGCCTAACAATGCCACAGTACTCTCCACATTTTAATCCACTTTTCTTTCTGTACAGTTTTCTTTCAGCTAAACTGATCTGATCATTTAAACAAGATGCTTTTTACTAGTCTTTGGACTACACCATAGCGTACCGTTTCTCTATAGCTAGAAATTCCCTTGCTTTTACTCTTAAGCCCCACCCTTCGTCTGCTCCTATTGCTGTTTCAACCTTTCACACTGTTGTAAATATTATCTGTGTCAATTACTTGTCAAGTGAATATTCTGCCTTATTTTATTTGTCCTTTTCTGTGTTTGAATCTTTTGTTCCTGACTACATTGTCAACTGCTAAAGACTAGATAGACCATGTTATATGCTTCCTTGTACCCTGCATATAACCATTGTATCACTATTTATCCTTGTTGGCAAGTTGCTTTAAAATTTGAAAGCCAACATGGAGCCAACTTAAAACCTTCTTAATATTCTTCTTTCGTGGCTTCTTTTTGTTGTTTTCTACATGAAAAGGTTGTTGCTCTATTTGGAATGGTCTGTTTTTGTTGAATTGAGGAAGATGTGGCTTAATGTGGTTCCAAAACGAGAGACTAGAAAGTAAAGCAACATGGTTTGAATTAAACTTCCAGTGAAGTTGAAATTCATAATTTTAAACTCTATGTGTGTGTGCGCGTGCACGTGCACACATATCTTGTGGCTATTTATTGAGCAAGCCATTTAATAGGAACTTTTGAAGAATAAAAAGAAAAGTTACAATTTTTTTTTTTCGGTTTACGATAAGGAAGAGAGTCATTCTATGCTTGGTAGTTGTATACAGTATATTCTTGTGATATGATTGAGAGTTTTCCTTTGCTATATGAGGGAAAAATATATGATTTTTTTTAAGAGATAGGGTCTCACTGTGTTGTCCAGGCTGAACTTGAACTACTCTAGGGCTTAAGTGATCCTGCTTCTTTAGCCCTCCAAGTAGCTGGGACTACAGATGCACATCTCCACACTGGCTTCTGTGAATATTTTTAGAAGAAAATACAGATAGAGAAAGTCATGAAATGAAGCATTTGAAGCAACTGTTTTACTGTTTGTAGTTCTACAGTTTTTAGTTGGTTTTCTAAATAAAAATAATATTTCCATTTGACAACTCAGCTGGTTCTGGGAAAGCTGTTTTTCTCCATTGGATACTACACCGCCTTTCTTTGGCATTTATTATTTTCAGAGAAGTCATACATTTGTAATAGGAAAAGAGAAAGCCTATGTCATGTGAATTTTCAGATAGACAGTATTTCTTTAGTTGTGTTAGACTTAAAGTGTTTATATTGGAACTCTGTAGTCATTTGGAGCATCTTATCTGAGAAGGACTAGAATCTAGAAACTAAATCTTTTTATTTTTTATTTTTTGGAAATGATATTCACTGGATTGAGACTTGCATTTTAAGGCTAGCTTCAGATTCTAAAGAAGGAACTATCTGGAGAGTGTGGTAATAGCCAGTAGGTGGTAGCATAGGTGGTAGGTATTGGAATCTTGAGTTTGAGGTTGGCATGGTTAAATAATCTAGGTAATATTTGGAAAAGCAGTTAGAAATATTGATTCGATATTTGGAAAACAGTTATGCGTATCTTTTAGCTAGTTGGATTTTCAGTAAATAATCTAGAATGGATAAAGCAAATAACCTTGTTTATATTTACTTTTAAAATATATATATAGGTGAAAAATATGAAGTAGCCTCTTTGGGAAATAGAACAGGGATTCTCTTAGAGATAAGTATAAATGTTTGAACTACACTTCAGGATCCTGCAGAAGTTAGAGAAAATAATTTGAAAGGAAAGGCAACTAATACATTCTGAGCATCTGTTATGTGCCAGTTACTTTTACATGTTTCTTTTTTTTTTTTGACAGCGTCTTGGTCTTTCACCCAGGCTGGAGAGCAGTGGCCTGATCTTGGCTCACTGCAGCCTCCGCCTCTTGGATTTAAACAATTCTCATCCCCCAGCCTCCCGAGCAGCTGGAACTACAGGCGTGCACCACCACTTCCAGCCACATGCTCCCATTTAATCTTCAAAACAATCCTAATTTAAAAAGAAAGAAATGGAAAGGATCAGAGACATTAAGTTATGGGCAAAATCACACAGCTGGCATTTGATCCATCCAAAAATTTGATGTTTTTAGAATATACACATTTTGATAACAATAGGAGCAGGAGCATGGAAAGTAGAGAGCAAGAATTAAGTAGCCCTTGGAATTCAGTTGGAAAAAGGGAAAGAATCCTCAGTTGGAAATTTCTCCAACTCTGAAGTTGGAAAGAGGGAAAGCGTATTTGAAATGACCAATCCTAACTGTGTTAGGAATCTGTTAGTGACTGACTGCCTCAGTTACCTACTTACTGCCTCAGTTACCTACTTCTTTCCTTTCTCCCTTTTTCTGTTTTATGGACATAAAGTAGGCACTCTAAAATATTTATTTAAAGAGTGACTAAGAAGTCAGGAGGCTTAATAAACTTGGAAAATTATAATAATTAATAGCTGTTTTTAGTATTTGCATGTGCCGACCATATATACACAGTTCTCTGTGTACCACTTATTCATGAGACTTTTCTTTAACCTTTTTTTAAGCTTCAAATTTTAAAATTAATTTTAGCCTTATGAAACAGTTGCAAAAATTGTAAAAGGGATTCCCATATATCCTTTAGCCAGATTTCCCAAATGTTAGCATGTTATATAACCATGGTATAATTATAAATTCAGGAAATTCAGTGATATAATAGTATAGTCTGCAAACCTTTGCGAATTTGCCATTTATTTCAGTAGTGTCTTTTATCTCGTCCAAGATCCTGTCCAGGATTACAGTCTGACTGATGTATCATTTTAAGTGCACCATATCAGAAAGCACATGGTGATGTATACTTTCATCACTTGGTTAAGGTGCTGTCTGCCTCTTTTCTCTCAGATTTCTTTCTTCTTTTTTTTTTCCTTTTTGTAGTTAATGGATTTCTTGTAGGGGGAGGTACTTTGAGATTTTGTAAATATCCTCTTTTTAAAAATTATGTGTTTTTGATCATAAACTAAGTTTACCATCCACTGATGAATATTGCCTGAAAAAAATATTACTGTGATGTTAACCAGATGATTTTCTGTTTCCATTATTCCGCCTTTATGAGTTGGAATTCTAGTGTAAGAAAGAACTTCTCTTTCTCCCCATTTATGTTGTTGTTTTAATGTATCAGTGTGAACTGGAATTCTTATTCTGTGGATTATAATTCATTATAGTCCTTGTTTACTTTGCAGTTCACATTATCCAAGGCCATTTAGAGCCATTTGAAATTGGCTCTTGCGTCCTTTTTGACATCTTTCTTCCCTGTTTTTTTTTTTTTCAGGCACTTTGTTTTACTTTTTGGCATGAAAAGATATTCCAGTCTTAACATGTACTATCCCTGTCCCAGCCCTGCCTTTCTCCAAAGAGCTCTAGTTACTTTTAGTCAGAGAATTAAGAATCCAAAGTGTGAGCACTAGGTGTACTCTTAGTACTAGAGTGTCATTGCTTTGAAACTGTATGTTTACTAAAGTACATGTGTATCTATGTTATTTTATATATCACTGAAAAACCATCTGATGAGATTTTTTTTATTACAGTTGTGTTGATAGTATCAAGAGCTAATGTAGTAGTAGTGAGAGAGTGGCAGAGAGATGGGAAGGATAAGAAATTACTTTTAGTAGTTAACTCCTAAAAATGGACTGCTTCAGTGATGAGTCTCTTCTTGTGTATGGCTGAGATAGAGATCGCTGTTGTAAAGTACAGATAGCATGACAATTTATTAAGGATGACGGGAGAGTAGGATGTTATATCAAAATATAAAATTAGTTTATGAATTTATGTTAAGACTAAAGTAAATTTAGTATTTTTTATTGGCATATTAGAAGAATGTTCTAAGAAGTTAGAACTTGAGGCTGAGTGCAGTGGCTCACGCCTATAATCCTGGAACCTTGGGAAGCTTCAGGTGGGCAGATGACTTGAGGCCAGGAACTTGAGACCAGCGTGGCCAACATGGCAAAACCCCATCTCTACTGAAAATATAAAAAATTTAACTGACTGTGGTGGCCCATGCCTATAATTCCAGCTACTTGGGAGGCACAGCAATTGTTTCAAGCCAGGAGGTAGAGGTCACAGTGAGCCAAGATCGTTACTGGGTGACACAACAAGACTGTCTGCAAAAGAAAGTTAGAACTTGATCTGTGTTTTTGAAGAACATCTAAGTCTGGATAAGCGGAGATGAGAAGGCACATCCTGGGTGGAACAGGGCATTTATTTTTGGAAGTTACCAGTGATATGGTTGGAGCCAGATTATGGATACCTTTCAATGCCCAGCTAGCTCAGGAGTCATGTAACTAAATCTTTTTCACTGTATCAGAAATATTTTGCTGAATATTTTATAGTTTCTTCCGATTCATGAATATGCATTATTTGGTTATATCCCTTTAACATTTTAGTTTTTATTGCTATTTTATTTATTTATTTATTTGAGATGGAGTCTTGTTCTTATTGCTTAGGTCAGAGTGCAGTGGCATGATCTCAGCTCACTGCAGCCTCTACCTCCCAGATGCAAGCAATTATTCTGCCTCAGTCTCCTGAGTAGCTAGGATTACAGGTATGCGCCACCATGCCTGGCTAATGTTGTATTTTCAGTAGAGACAGGGTTTCACCATGTTGGCCATGCTGGTCTCAAACTCCTGACCTCAGGTGATCCACCCCGCTTGGCCTCCCAAAGTGCTGAGATTACAGGTGTGAGCCACCGCTTCAGGCCTTTGTTGCTATTTTAGTACATTGATAGTTTTTTTTTTCCTCCTCCAAGCCAAACTGTATCCAGCTTTATTAAAGATACTTTTGATAAACAATCATGATATTTCAGGCAGGACATGGGCAGACTGTCGTTAACAGTATAGAACAACTTTCAGACTCCCTTATTCAGTGGACAGAAATCAGAAAGCCGCTGTAAAACCGAATGAAGTCTTCATCTGATGCTTTGAACAGGGGAAGTTTAGAGTGAGGGTTGACATTTGACATTCAGCATATTGTTTAACAACTGTTCAAGAGCTGCCCCTGACTTTCAGGAATTGACATGAAAATGACAGTATTTATCTGAAGATCCACAATCTAGAAATGGAACCACTGCTCTTTTGAGGGCTGCCATCTCAGTGGTATCACTGGTAAGTTCAGATTGCCTGACACACTGGTAACCATTTATTGGGGCCGAGGTCCCAACAGATGTTTGGATTTAAGGGAGTTAAATTGATGCCAAAAGGTGGAAAGGGAGAAGAGGACATAAAAACACATTTGTTTTTCCATACCACAAGGCTTTTGTGTCATGCTGGCCATGTGTGTCAAAGTCAAGAAATCCCACCTCCCGGGAGCCAAGAGGAAGTCTCTAAACTAAAAGGGAAAGGTGTTTTCCCCCACATCAGTCCAGCTTTGGAGACATTCTGTGCCCCTTCCCCAAAAAGCAACAGTGATGTATTCTGTATGCTCACAGCATAGCTTAAAAAAAAAAAAAGGAAAATAAAATTCTGCATTTTTATGAAACTTGGTGAAAAATAGTATTTCAGACTATACAGTCAGCAAGAGTACACAGTTATCAAAACTGCACACACTTCACACAGCATCTGCACCACCTTCAGTTTTCTGTGCCTGGTCTGATTTTCATCTCCATTTTCTGCAGAGTTATTCCCCTCCTTGGCAGCATCAGCTTTTTCCTTTTTCCCTTTGGATACCTTCTCTCCCTCCTTTACAGGGCCCCTTGGAGGCTTGGGCTCTAGCTTTGGAGGAGCAGGGTTAGCAGACAACCCACAGATCTCTGTGGTTCTTCCTTCACTTTGGCATTGTCTCCTTTAGCATCCCCTTCAGCCTTTCTCCAGGCATACTGGCGGTGTTAGCGGCAGGATGTCGGTGCTTGGCACAGGGTACAGTGATACCCGGCCTTTCGTAGTCTAGGAGTCATTCTCACCTCGTCTTCACCCTGCTCCCATTGAAAGTTTATATTAAGAGCAAATGATAAATCTAGTTGTTACCTTTTTATTGTATTCTTCAACATGTATTCATGTTGAATATATTACTTTGGGCTTATTCAACCATTCTTGATGTGATTTTCCTGTCATCTTACACCAGAATACCACAAATCAGTAAGTATTTATAATACCTATTATATAAAAAGAACTATGGAGGAAAAAATATTAATATAGCTTCCATTAGGAGTGAGAAAGAAACACATGAGCTACTTAAAGGTTACACATATATATACACACATATATATAAAGGAGAGATTATATATATAAAATACATGTATTACACACACACACACACACACACACACACACACATACACACATACATTTTGAGACAGAGTCTTACTCTGTTGCCCAGGCTGGAATGCAGTGCTGTGATCTTAGCTCACTGCAACCCTCCACTCCTAGGTTCAAGCAATTCTTGTGCCTCAGCCTCCTGAGTAGTTGGGACTGCGGGTATGAACCACCTCACCCGGCTAATTTTTGTATTTGTAGTAGAGATGGGGTTTTACCATGTTGGCCAGGCTGGTCTTGAATCTCCTGACCTCAAGTGATCTGATCATTGGCTTCCCAAAGTGCTGGGATTACAGGGTTGAGCCACTGCGCCCAGCCTATATATGAGATTTAAATAGAATGCAAAGTTAAACAGATGTGACAAATCAATACGTGTTAATTAGGTGCTCAGTTAATTGTACAAATCTAAATTGCTGGGGCTTACCTTGTCATATTTCCAGAGACGTCTGGTATAGATTATTTAGAAAAATTCAAGAAAACTACTTGATGTGAATTAATGCTCAGTAGGAGATTCCATTAAATATCAAAGAGTTTATTTATTTATTTTTGTCTTCTGACTTGTGGCGTTGTTTGCAAAACAGGCTAGGGGAAACCATTAATTGGTGACTGCTCTGTTCAATTTTATGTGGTCTTAGTCAACGAATAGACTAATCATTTGGCACGTTTATTAAATGTCTGGTTCTGTGTTTGGCCAGAGAGGATAACAAAGAATTAAAAGACCTGGTCCCCACTTGGTTGTAGAATATCGAGGAAACTGTGGGTGACAAAAGCAATTAGACTTGTAATCTATAAGGAGATTTAAATCATCCATCCTGTGTACCCAGAACCTGAGTTCCCAGTAGGCAGGGAACGTTGAATGTAAAATCCCATTCTCATTCCCATATGTAGTAATTTAGAGATGGTGGCTAATAAATGAAAATGTAAGTACTGTAGCAGTTTGAGAGATGCAGTAGATGACACTGGAGTTACTTAATCTAGAAGATGTTCACTGAACCTTAAAAGGATCTTTGTGTATTTTAGAGTGGTTGGTTTGGTAATTGTGTTTAGGATTTACAGTGAGAAAATTATGGGAGGGTCTTAAAATAATTCAGAAAATGAAACTAAACTAGAGTAATGGCTGTGAAGATGCGTAAGGAAGCGATGTGCTGAAATAAATTGTCAAAGCTTAGTGATTATGTAAATATATAAATAAGGGAGAAGGAAGTGATACTGACATTAGGCTTCCACCCCAGATGGCTTGGCATGGTGAATTAAAAGTCAGTTAGAAGTCAAGAACAGAGAAGGGGAAGTTGTGGTGCAGTGGCCATTTTTATGAGGAGAATAATGGAGTTAGCTCAAAGCATTTTGAGGTGAGAGTGAACATTTAAAGTGTCAGTAGACAGTTGTGGGAAATGAGTTGAAATAAAAGGTCTGAGGTGAAAATATACTGGAGAGGGTTTCTGAAAACATGTGATTGGATTATTTGAACAAAGTTTTTGAGGAGGAAAGCACAAAATACTGAGTTTTATAAAACACCTTCATTTTAAGAAGTAAGAAGAATCAGATTAAAAAGAAGATAGAGTCATAAAATAAATGAGTTACCCATTTTGCATTCAGTTATTTTCCTGGCCCCATACTCTATAATGACTAGGGGGATGGGTTGTCATGTTTGTCAAACTAACATGGACTCCTGTACCATTTCCCAGAATGGACCTCAGATGGGTTGAGCAAGTACCCTCAAAACATACTACAGTGGGCTTTCAGAGAATAGGTTCTCAAGAATTCTGGTTGTAGAGGACAGACAATAAGTCTGACAGCATTAATGAGTATGTGGGTGTTGGTGGGAGTTAAGAAATGCATCTACACTACTAGCTTGAAAAGTTGTCAGTGAAAGGAATGATGATGAAAACAGGACCATAGAAAAATAGGCAGAGGATTTAAGTAAAGATTTTGGGAGCCAAAGGGGGAAGCTTAAATACTATACTCAGGAAGAAATTTAAACTGTTAAAAGGAGGAAATGGTTGGAAAAGGCAAGATTGTAAGAGAACCAACAAGTTATTAGTTACTGAACATTGATAGGACATTCCTACTGAAATTAGAATACAGTCAGTATAACTTCAGGAGTTACAATTGGTAGGAATTAAATGAGGCGTGATGCCTGAGTGTGAGAACTGTGTTCAACTGACTTTGCCCTCACAGAGATAGCAGTGACTAGTGAGAAACTCTTAAGATAATGAAGGCAGTGTATAACACAAGAATAAGGTGGAATAGACTGAGGTAATTGTACTCCTCATCTGCAGTGCTGCTCAAAGTTTTCTAGTTACAGCAGCAACATGAAAGGAAAAGATTCAAGTAACATAAGATTTCTTTAGCCAGCAGTACATTTTTAAGTATAAAAAATACTGGTCTAGATATTAAACAAAATCTTATTTTTTGTATTTTACATTTTGTCAGTGTAAAAACCACGAGGCATTTGGAATGTGTACACATTGAGGTACCTTTTTAACTCTAAAATTCTGTGATTCTCTTTTTTCAGTAGCTTGCTTAAGGAGATTCTTAGAATTAATCAGTGACCTAAGTTTAGAATATGCCTACTTATATATACAGATTTGGGCTAGAGTTATATAGAGCCTCAATGTTTGATTTGAATGTCTTAATAGAGTCAGTATTTTCTTTCTTTCTGCCCATGAGTGTAGGTCTTATTTTTTTCTTTCCTTTCTTATGAACTGGTATTTGCATGTTAGACTTTCTTTGTTCTTTCCCCTCCATTATGAGAGCTTGTATTTATTCTGTTTCTCTTTTCTTCCCTCCTCTCCCCGTTTATTAGGTCTCCATCTTTTTTGAAATTATTTGCATTTTCTTCATGGATTGTACCTTTTTATTTTTTTAAATTACAGTAAACATACATAACATTTACTATCTTAACTATATTTAAATATGTAAGATCAGCAGTTAAGTACTTGCATTGTTGTGCAGTTAGTCTCCAGAACTTATTCATCTTATAAAATGGAAACTCTTTGTCCATTAAATAGTATCTGTCCCATTTCCTCCTCCCTTTAGCCCCTGGCAAACACTAGTTTACGTTTTGCCTCAATGAGTTTGCTTATTCTAGATACCTCCATATAAGTAGAATCATAGAGTATTTGTCACTTCGTGACTGGCTTGTTTTGCCTAAGATAATGTCCTTTGTTTTTTCATATTGTTGTATGTGTTAAAATTCCTTCCTTTTTAAACCAGAACAATATTCCACTTACGTATGTATCACATTTTGTTCATCCATCCATCAGTGAATCCTTGGGTTGCTTTCACCTCTTAGCTGTTTTAAATAATTCTGCTATGAGCATGGGTTTACAAATACCTCTTTTTGAGATCCTGCTTTTAATTATATATATATATATACACACACACACACACACACACACCCACACCCCTAGAAATGGAATTGTTGGATCATATGGTAATTCTGTTTTTAAGTTTTTGAGGAACTACCAGACTTCCCCACATCGGCTGCACCATTTTACATTGCTACCAGCAGGGCTAAAGGGTTCCAGTTTTTCCACATTGTTGCCCTCATTTGTTATCTTCTGTGGGTGTTTTTTGTTGTTGTTGTCTGTTTTGTTTTTTTAACAAATAAGATTTTTTATTTGCCATTTTTATAAGTCTGAACTTTAAACAGATTCTTGGACTAGTGGTTCATATCCATCAGCTCGTTCAACTTGAGCACCTGTCTCATCCCCGGTGGCTTTTCCAGAACTACTGCCTTCACCATGAAGCTCCGTGAGTTTTCCCAATTCAAACTTGGGCTTCTTCAGCATTTTTACTTTTCTAACGAAGACATCATGGAGAGAATAAATAGATTGGCAAGCTTTTTCTAT